AATGGTCATTAAAATAGCTTCAAGGATCACACCTGTCAGAGTAGCCGCCATCAACAAATCATCAAACAGCAAGTGCTGGCGAGGGTGTGGAGAAAAGGGGACTCTGTACACTGCTGGTGGGAATGCAGACTGGTGCAGCCACTATGGAAATCAATGTGGTGTTTTCTCAAAAAATTAAAAATGGAACTTCCATTTGACCCAGTGGTTCCACTTCTAGGAATATACCCTAAGAAGCCTGAAACACCAATCAGAAAGAATATATGTACCCCCATGTTCATAGCAGCACTATTTACAATAGCTAAGATCTGGAAACAGCCCAAGTGTCCATCAGTAGACAAATGGATAAAAAAGCTGTGGTACACATACACAATGGAGTACTATGCAGCTGTAAGAAAGAAAGATCTCTTACCCTTTGAGACGACATGGAGGGACCTGGAGATTATTGTGCTGAGTGAAATAAGCCAAGCAGAGAAAGATAAATACCACATGATCTCACTTATTTGCAGAATATAATGAACAAAACAAGCTGCTGAACAAAATAAACTCAGAGACATAGAAGGAGGGTACAATGACTTCTGTCCTTACTGGGAGTGCACCCTTTCCGCTTTGAGGAAAGGGTCGCTGTGCAACGGCTGCCCTGTCCCACCAGCCAGTCTCACCGTCCACCTGCATTCGCCAGTCTCTGTTGCTCGGTTTCCTCTTGTGCTTGAGTTAATCTCATGAAGTGTGCGCAGCCGCCGCTGTACAGCCTGGGGCGCCGTGGGCTGTGCTGTCCAGGCGCCGACCCCTCCGTGATGCTCACAAAACACGAACTCACCTAGCGACACATTTCTCAGGATATACCCTGTTGCTAAGTGGGGCATAACCGCATCTCGAACTCTAAGCTACTGAAAATGAGATTACTTTGGGATGAAAATGTAAAGCATTCCCTAGACAATAACATGTCGACATGTTACCCTGTGCTTACAGTTCTCCGGTGGCTTCCCATTGTTTCTAGGATTAAGGCCGAAATTCTTCATGTGACCTTCAAGCTCCTGCTTATTGTACAGCCTCATCCTGTACCACACTGTCCCCACCTCTTCATGCTCAGCCACCCTGACCTTCCTGCTAGTGTCTGAACATGCCGCAGGGCCTTTGCACGTGTCCTCTCTGTCCAGACACCTTCCCCCGCCTGCCTCCTTTGCCGCTTTAGCTGCTACTCATTCATCAGATCTTAGCTCGGCAGTTGCCACCTTTAAGAAATCATCCCAGTGTCCTCATTGCAGAGTCTCTTTTTCTTCTTTTTTTATCCTCATCCGAGGACAGTCTCGCATTTATCTTCAGATAGAGTGGGAGGGAGAGAGGGAGGAAGAGAGAGAGAAACATCGATGTGAGAGAGACACATCGAGTGGTCGCCACCCGCACGACCAATCAGGGCCGGGGACAAACTGCAACCGAGGTACGTGCCCTTAGTGGGAACCGAACCCGGGTCTCTCTGGTCCGCGGCTGACGCTCTAACCGCTGAGCTAAACCAGCCAGGGCCAGATTCTCTTTTTCATGTTCCTAAACTAATGTGTAACTCGGGCCAAATAATTCCAAAAGCAAATGAATAAACACCTTTGACATTTTTGTAGAGAAGAGGAGGAGGAGGAGGAGTGGGAGGGGGAGACACTGTTCTGACCCCAAAGCTGGACCAGGCGGGCGGTGGAGCTCCCCGCCCCTGCCTGCCTTGCCTCCCCCGCTCCCAGAGGTGCCCCAGGACCCAGATGTGGGTAGAAATGTGGTTGGGACTTTGGACTGGGTGTGACCCAGTTAAAGCCCCCTGGGTTCATGCCTGCACCCACATGGGCCCCACGTGAACATTTAAGGTGTGTTGGGTGGATGGGAAAACTGGTCCTCATGCAGTCGCCCAAGACGAGCCTCGTCAGTTTGTCCCCGGGGTTACCCCCCTGCCACCTCCCACCCCGAGTGGTCCGCCTCTTCCCTCAGGTCTCCCTGCTGCCGCCTGTGGAGGGAGCCCCCAAAAAGGTCGTGACCCAATATGAGCGTATCGGAAACTCTGTAGATTTGAATTCTACATCCTTCTAGTTCTGTATTTGTCCTGAGCTAATGACACATCCAAGTTCAAGTACCAGATGAGACAGAGAGACACCCTCCACCCACATCAATGACCAGAGATTTGACTTCTAGCTATATTCTATTTTTTTACTTTTTTTTATTGATTTTTTAGAGAGGGAGAGAGAGAGAGAAACATTGATGAGAAAGAACATCCGTTGGCCGCCTCCTGCACACACCCCACTGGGTATCGGGCCCACAACCTGGGCATGTGCCCCGACCGGGAATCAAACCAGCGACCTCTTGGCGCAGGGTCAAGACTCAGCCCTGAGCCACACCGGCGGGCTGGCCACATCCCTCTCCTGGCGCACACCCTGAATGGGCAGCGGCAGGGGGGCCTCAGCAAGGCGACTGCAGAGGCTGCTCAGGCTCCTTACACCCCAAACCCATCGGCCCTGATGCCAGGGCGTCTGCGCTCGCGCCGGGGGTGGGGGGGCCATGGCTCACTCAGCTGACAGGTCCCCTCGACGGCTCTGTGTCACGCAGACGGGGCGCAGCGGTACAGTCTGAGGGCAACTTGTCGGGGAGAAGGTGACACATGACGTAAGATAGCTTGCTTCTCAGTTCCCCTGACAACCCTACAGAAATGGGTGGTTTCATAGTATCGATGACTGAAAGGCGGCTTCACACACACGCCTGGAGAAACGCTCGCTTCTGAGTCACAGACGATCTTCTGGAAACAGTCAAGTTTCAGGCTGAGACGAGCAGAGACGAGAACTGTTTGCCCGGAGTCTCCTCTGGACCGGCCGTGTTTCCGTGTTTTGACCGTTAGATCAGCTTCATTCTGGCAGAAAAGTTGGTTTGGAACTGGGTCCACCTGCCCCCTTTGCTACAAGGGCTGTGACTGCTCGAATCCGTGAGTATCTGTGATCCCGTCCGGGCGCGGTGGCCAAAGACGAATCCTTGTGTTTGAAGTTCATGACTTACCTTCTTCCTCCTCTTCCATCCACCCTGGATTTGTATAATTTAGTGAAGAATCCTTCCTTTATGTTAGTTTTTATGGGCCATGGGGTGACTTAAAAAATAAATCTGCCAGCCCTGGCCAGTGTCGGCCCGCAGACCAATGTGTCGCAGATTCGAGTCCGGTCAAGGGCGTGGACCTCGGTTGCAGTCTGTCCCAGGCCCTGGTGGGCGTTGTGCAAAGGCAACCAGTCGACGCGTCCCTCTCACGTCAATGTTTCTCTCTCTCTCCCTGTCCCTCCCACTCTATCTGAAGATAAATAGAAAAATATCTTCGGGTGAGGATTTAAAAAAAAAGTTCTGCCAGAATAATAGTGACTTTCACCTTCGGTCGGGGGGGATTATGCTCACATAAGATCACACTTTGAGATCAACTGAAAACCTTCCTTTTACGAATGAGGGCACTGAAGGTCAGGACGCTCGGGGACCATGGACCCTGCAGCATTCGCCCAGACTGAGGCTGAGCCTGGCCCAGGGCGCACCCGCCGTGGAGTGTGAGCCAGGGTCCTCTGTGCTGGGGTGCTCCTCTCCAGACGTCAGGGGAACCCGCTCGTCCTAGTCCTGATGACAACAGAACAGTCTCTGCTTGGCCCGTGTCTGCGAGGCCGTCACCCGGCAGCTGAGGACTGGTCTACCCCAGGCCAGCTCACCTGTCACTCAGCTCCTCTCTGTTTCTGGGTAAATGCCTAAGACACTCGTGCGTCATTCAGTACGAGCGCCCAGCTGTTATTCAGAGAGCACGGTCTCCCTGAGGAGGAGCATCGCTCTGCTGCTTCCACCAGTGACCACTTCTGAGGGAGGCCTGCCAACGCCGACCCTCAGCACAGGGCTGGTTAGGAAAGGCCCAAACGCCCTAGCCGGTCTGGCTCAGCAGTTAGAGCTTTGACCCACGGAGCGAAGAGTCGTAGGTTCAATTCCGATCAAGGGCACGTACCTTGGTTGCTGTTCATCCCCAGCCCAGGTTGGGGTCGTGCGGGAGGCAACCAGACAATGTGTCCTTTCCCGTCGATGTTTCTCTCTCTCTCTCTCTCCCTCCCTCCCGCTCTATCTGAAGATAAATAGAAAAATATCCTCAGGTGAGGATTAAAAGAAATAAAAAAAGAAAGAAAGAAAGAGAGGGACAAAATTCAGACTGTTTTGATCATGTTTAATGAAAAAGAAGTTACACGAATAGAAATGGACATAAAACAAAAATCAATTTTGGGAAACAAGGTGATAAGTAGAACAAGAGAAAATCATTTTAACCTTGAATTTACTCATCTATTTCCATTCGTTATTACTGACCCAAAACACCTTCTTAAATCCCAAACAGAGCAGGGGTCATGATGTTACTGATGTTTTCACGGGAACTCACCAAAGTGATGGCTCAGCATCCTCCCTGTCCTGGGCCCCGCACACACCAGGCAGCTGTCTGCTCCTATTGTCTCAGCCAGTCGCCCGCGGTGTGTGCCTTTGGGCGAAACACGCTTTCCCGAACACTTTCACGAGAAAGCTTTGATGACATGCAGCCGCTGTTCTCAGTAGGATCATCACTGAGGGATTAACCGGTGAATGGACATGAGGAGCCGCTCCTGCCGGTTCGTACGGGAGCACAGGTGAAATATTAACGACGGGAAATTACAAACGCTCCGAAAAAACAGCCATGAACGTCTTACTGGTCTGGTTTGGGGTTTAATTCTGTCTAAGATTCTCAGAGGAGTCCGTCAATGCTCTATGTCTGTCGTATCTTCCTAAATAAGAAACAACACCTTTGGAAACAAATGAAGACCTCTGAAAACACGTATGGTAATAGGTTTGCTTTAATGAGCGTATTTAAGGCAGAATACCCCTCCTATCAGACCAGACCTGGCGAGCACCGAGCTCAGAGACGGCCCTGTGGGCGCGGGGAGAAGGGAGGGCGCATCCCGCCCCCTGGGCCAGCGCCCAGCCGTGCGGTCGCCCCTGGGCTAAGACGAGCCCTGTCTCTTCTGGAACTGGGTCCTGAGCTTCTCCAGCTGCTCCGCACACTGGGACTGGGCCAGCTTCAAGGTGCGGTTCTCCTCGCTCAGCGCCTCAAACTCCTGGGCCAGCTGAGCAGCATCCACCTTCTCCTTCTCCGCCTGCGCCAGCTTGGCGACCAGCTCCTCCCTGCAGGGGCAGCAGGACACACTGTAACACACACCCACCCAGGGCCGCCAGCCCCCAGGCTCAGACCTGTTACAGGGCCACCAGCCCCCAGGCCCAGACCCGTTACAGGGCCGCCGGCCCCCCAGGCCCAGACCTGTTACCCTACTCTGCGCCCTGCTGAGACGCCCCAACAGTGAACATCTGCCAGGAAACACTCAGCAACTCCTTCGGGGGCTAAACAACACCGCCTTTTCAAGGGTGCAACAAAGTTTAAAATTACAGCTAGTTTAGGGGCAAAACCCAGAAAAACCTGTCTATAGTTGAAGATGTCCCATCGCCTCACGTGTGGGGACCATGCTGTCCCTTAGCCAGTCCTGGCCCCAGATTCAGTTTCCTTCCTTCGTCTTTAGCTGAGTTGAACGAATCCTCACCAGTTCTTGAACTAAGAATCCCGCCTTCTCCATGGCCATCCTCTCCCTGGTCCTGATGTACGTCCTACAGCCCTAATCACAACCGGTATCTGTGTCCTCACTGCGCACAGAGGTCATGGGGGGACCCATAGTGACAAGTACACTCAGGTCCGGGAAATACAGGCAAATAATGCATCCGTGTCAACACGCGTGAGACAGAGCCCGAGACTCACAGTCCGTGTTTAGATGGATGAACACGACCCCCCACCGCAGGCCCCTCCCCTCCCCTGGGTCAGGGAGCCTGGCCCTGACTTCTCCGTCCTCAGTGTAAGCACAGGTCACATTCCTTCCTTCTCTGCAGGAAAAGTGCGGACACCTGAAGAGTGAGGGGAACAGGCACCCCGAGAACACAACGCGCTTTCTGTGGTATTCCTGCCCGGGACACGCAGCCCCGAACGGAGAGGAAGTTGCCAGTCTACAGCCTCCAGAAGGAGAGAAACTAAAGAGAAATGACACACACAGTGTGCAGTTCTGGAAATAACAGCTGGGCCCTGGCCGGCGTGGCTCAGCAGTTAGAGCGCCGGCCCGCGGACCAGATGGTCACAGGTTCAGTTCCTGGTCAAGGGCACGTGCCTGGGTTGCGGGTTCCACCCCCGGCCCCGGTGGTCAGGGTCGTGCTCGACACAACCAATCGATGCGTCTCTCTCACATCGATGTCTCTCTGTTCTCTGCCTTCCACTTTCTCTAAAAATCAGTGGAATGATAACCTCGGGTGAGGAGTAACGACGACGACATAACAGCTGTGCAGGACATGACTGGGAAGGCTGCAGTTTAGACACGAACTATGAACTAGGTGATAGACAGTTCTGCATCCAAGTTAAGATGCTCCGTGCCAACGGCTGTGCTGCGGTTAAGTGAAAGAATGTCTTAGCTCCTGGGGACAGTCAGTGAGGCATTCGGGGCGGCAGGGCGTGAACACACAGGAGCAGCGGGGTGTGCACACACCCTTCCTCCTGCCCTTAATAATCTCTGACTCTCCTATGGTCTTTAGAATATAAAAGTTTACAAAATGTGCTCACCAGATGAATCACTGAAGAGTCAGGTACCTCGGAGACACATAATGCATATTTTATTCTTTTATTTTAATATGTTTTTATTGATGTTTTAGAGAGAGGAAGGGAGAGAGTTAGAAACATCGATGTAAGAGAGAAACATGGATCAGCTGCCTTCTGCACACCCCCTACCAGGGATCGAACCCACAACCCAGGCATGTGACCCAACTGAAAATCGAACCACGACCTCTCAGTCCCTGGGACAATGCTCAGTCCACTGACCCTCACCAGCTGGGCAAATGTATATTTTAAAAATGAGGAAAGGGAAAGTCAAACGGTCAGTAGTTGGACATCAGCCTGTGAACCAGTTCAATTCTGGTCAAGGGCACATACCTCAGTTGTGATTCGGCCCCTGGCCCTGGTCAGGGCTGTGTGGGAGGCAACCAGAAAAAGAAAGAAAAAGTCATACTCCCAACTCTGTCTAAAAATAGATGGAAAAATATCCTCGGGTGAGGATTTAAAGAAGAAAAAGAAAGAAAAAGTCATACAGCTAATAAGAAAGAGCCAACATCCAAGTATCTTATTAAATGGTTAGGACTCATTACTGCTAAGCATAGTTGAAGCAATAAATATCCATAATTACATGTTGGTAATTGTCTTAAAGAAGCTGGTTAGCATAGAATAGGGCGGAGGGTCCGTAACACTGAGATCAGTATGCAAGGTGCGAACTGGGCGCTTTGCTGTCTAATCACCGTCTGTGAGCCGCACGAATGCAAAGCACCACTGAACGAGAACTGCAATTTAAAACATCTTCTGGAGGATTTCAAAATGGCAGCGGAGTGAATGGAAGCTACACAGACCGTCTCCCAGGACCAAACTGGAATTACAACAAAAATAAAGACAAACCGATGGGAAAAAGCAACAGAAAAGCAGCTTGTAAGGATCATATAACCAGGGACACTGACTCAATCCTGATAGGACTGAGGAGACACAACAGGGGGGCTGGGAGCCCACAGACAGCGACTCCACAGGCCAGAGCCGGGACAGACACTAAAATAACCACAGCCACGCACCTTGGGCTCCAGCAGAGGGAGGACGGACTGGACTGGAACTGTGTGGGGACACTCAAGATTTGGAGGGGGCTCAGAGCTTTTGCTGAGTTGCAGCCATGCAGGACAGTGGCCATATTGCTCCTTCCCAGGGCTCTGGGGAGAGGCAGCAGCCCCTCCCTCAGAGATTCAATCCACCCAGGTGGGCCATTGAAATGCAAATTGAGGCCCATTAACAACCAGCATCTGCCCCACCCTCGAGAAATCCCCTTACACTGAGCACCTGAGGGAGTTTTTCATTCAATTGACAACCCAAGGCTCTTCAGGTAACCGCTACTGATAGCCTCCAGGCAAAAAGCTAGAGGAAAACTGAACCATTCCTGGGCTAGCAATGCTAACCAGGAAAGTAAGACTTGACAGTGGTGTTTAACATGGGTCCTCCTGTTTGTGGCTCCCTCTCCTGGGTTTGGATGAGCATGGGAGGACCCATGTTAAACACCACTGTCAAGTCTTACTTTCCTGGTTAGCATTGCTAGAACAACAGAACACGAACACCCACAGGGAAAATTGGGCAGGCTCCAAAGCCCACTGTGATAGCCAAAATGGTAAAACATAGAAACGAAAGCCAAATGAAAGAACAAGAGACCTCTACCGAAGATGAGATAAATGTGGTGCAGTTAAGCAAGTTAACAGACCTAGAATTCAGAGCCATGATCTTGAGGAAGCTCAACAACATGAGTAAGGACATAGAGATGTTGAAAATATTAAAAACCACCAAGAAGAAATCAAGAATGACATATTTGGAAGGTCTAAACAGCAGAGTAGAGGAAGTTGAGGACCGGATCAGTGAATTAGAAGAAACAGTAGAACTCAACAGCATGAGTAAGGACATAGAGATGTTGAAAATCAACCAGTGGGAAATTAAAAACCACCAAGAAGAAATCAAGAATGACATATTTGGAAGGTCTAAACAACAGAGTAGAGGAAGTTGAGGACCGGATCAGTGAATTAGAAGAAACAGTAGAAAAAAATCAACCAATCAGAAAACCAAAAGGAAAAAACAATTAAAAAACAGGAAGACAGTTTAAGAGAACTGTGGGACAACTGGAAATGTAATAATATTTGCATCATAGGAGTCCTCGAAGAAGAAGAAAATGAGCAAGGGTTAGAGAATATATTTGAAGAAATAGTGACAGAAAACTTCCCTAATTTGGTGAAGGAAGAAGGCATTCAAGTTCAAGAAGCACAGAGAGCCCTAAGTAAAAAGAACCCAAACAAGCACACACCAAGACACATAGTAATTAAAATTCAAAAAATTAAAGACAAAGAGAGAATCCTAAAAGCAGCAAGAGATAACCAAACCAGCACTGCAAAAAATGTTAAAAGGACTGCTATAATTAGAAGAAATAGGAAGAAAAATAGAACCACACTAAACAAAAATGGCAATAAATAAGTACATATCAATAATCACCTTAAATGTAAATAATCACCTTAAATGTAAATGGAGTGAACGCTCCGATAAAAAGACACAGAGGAGCTGACTGGATAAGAAAGCATGACTCATCTATATGTTGGTTACAAGAGACCCACCTCACAACAAAAGACTCACACAGGTTGAAAGTGAAGGGATGGGAAAAAAGCTGGGGCAGCAATACTCACACCTGATAAAAGAGATTTCAAAATGAAAGCCATAACTGGAGACAAAGAAGGCCACTACATAATATTGAAAGGATCTATCCAACAGGAAGATATACCATTGATAAACACCCAATATAGGAGCACCAAAATATATTAAAAATCTTCTGGAGGACTTCAAAGGAGAAATCGACAGCAATACAATCATAGCAGGGGACTTCCACACCCCGCTGACATCACTGGATAGATTCTCTAGACAAAAAATCAACAAGGAAACAGAGACTCTAAATGAAGCACAAGACCAAATGGATTTAATAGATATCTACACAGAATTACACCCCAAAACTACAGAATTCACATTCTTCTCAAGTGCACATGAGACATTCTCAAAGATAGACCACATGATAGGACACAAACTAAATCCCTACAAGTTCAAGAAGATTGAAATCATATGAAGCATCTTTTCAGATCACAATGGCATGAAACTAGAAATCAATTGCAACAAAAACATGCAAAGACATTTGAACATATGGAGGCTAAATAGCATGTTATTAAACAATGAATGGATTACCATGGAAATCAAGGAAGAAATTCAAAACTTCCTGGAAACCAATGAAAATGAACACACAACAACACAAAATCTATGGGATGCAGCAAAAGCAGTTCTGAGAGGGAAGTTCATAGCAAAACAGGCCTACCTCAAGAAACAAAAAAAATTTCTAATAGACTATCTAACCTCACAACTTAAAGAATTAGAAAGCTAACAAAAAGAAAACCCCAGAGCAAGTAGAAGAAAAAAAATAGTAAAGATCAGAGCAGAAATAAATGACATAGAGACCAAAAAAACAATTCAAAGGATCAATGAAACAAAGAGC